GTTCTACAGATACTATTGACTGCTAAAGAGACAAACAAATAGATACTGGAACAAATTAAACCTTAGAAGCCAAGATGACTAATCTGAGACTGTTATACTTTGGCATGAGAACACAGGACTCACTAGAAAATATATTAATACTTGGAAAGGTGGAAGGCAGTATGCTCCCCAAACATTTCATTTTGAGAGATATGGGCTGTGGCGTTCACCTGCATTCATTTAAAATACTGAAGATGGTGTGAGTGGGATGAAGATCCATGAGAGGAGAATGAGAAGGTCTCCAGGTTTTTTTAAAAGTAAAAATTAAAATTTAACCTTAAAATTTGTAAAAATAAATAAATAAATAATTTAAAAATTTTCTTTAAAAGCATCACATCTTACCAAAATTTCACTTTAAGAACATGAAACTATGGGCCTCTGCAGGCCAGCCTGAGGCAGAGATGGGGAGGGGCAGCCACATGCCAGCCGGCCAAACCCCAGTCCGACGATGTCCATTATGCATGTCGTGTGGCATCAGGACGTCCTCCCAGCACAGCGTCCTGATGCACTACACCAGAAAGGGCACTAAAGAGCCACACGCTGGCTCTTAGGGTGCCCTTTTGCCACCCCTGAAAGGAGTGGCATTTTGCCACTCTTTCAGGGGTGGCAAAAGGGAAGATTGGGGCAATGGTGCACGGTTGCTGCAGCCCCGATCCACGGCTAGCAGGGGCGGCCCAGAGCCACCCGTCTGCATAGCCCCTATGTACATGCAAATATATTTAGACTGTGTGTATGATACTGTAATTTAAATATATAATTTCCATTTTGATAGCTTTTTATGTCAGGACTATTTATTTAGTGATATATGGGATTTATGATTTATGAGTAACATTAGTACAAAAAGCATAACTAAGGATTCTGTGTGGTGCAGTATGGGAGAGGATAAGTGGGGAAGGTGACATCATCAGTTATTTTACTGAGTGATGCCAACCCTAGTGATGCTGCTGATTAGCCTTTAGGTGTTGCCACATTTCTTTTCCTTTCTTTCTTTTTGTTTGCTCTTCTTTCCTCCTTTTTATGCTACAAGAGACTAACATGGCGACTTCTTTGAAAACTAGCTCACTTTAAGAATCTTTGGATTTTCCTCCTCTGGTTCTGTAGTTAGATGTGTACAGAGATATTTCTGCCAACTGGTGGCATTGTGTCTTTAGGACAATTCAAGAGTTGACTTGCTTATTATTCTGTGGTTGGGTTGTCTATAGGATGAGACATTTTAAAAACTAAGGGGGAAAAAAGGTTTATAAAAAGCTGTTGCTGTTGTAGACAGTATGTAAATTAAATATTTTTAAGGTCTGTCTGCAAGTATTCTATTTTCCCCAAAGGAGTCTATGAACATCTGGAGATTTTGTAGGATAACATTTTATGCAGGCTGTTTAAGATACTTGTTTATTTGGTTATGCTAATAGCTATTTAATTTGGACACCTGAGTCAACAGTTCAGAGAAAAATATGGCTTTTCTAAAGATGGAAAACTTCTGAGCCTTTCCTAAATGTTGCAAAAATACATTATATATGCCACAGGCCTAAAGGAAAAAAACAGACTTGTTCCACTGACACATTTAGGTCTGCTGAGTAAGAAAGGCATGAGTGAAGGAAGCTGACTGAAAGTGGAGAGTAACCTCTTCTCTCTTGAGGTATAATTCAATATGCAAGCAGTTTCCATTTTACTGGAGGAAGAACATGATTGCATACAAACCTGTATTTTTAAAACTAATGATGATTCTCTATCTGAAAGAATGTATCGAGCATATGTAAAGAACAAATCAGCAACAGGATAGCAATTTTTCATTAGTTTTTATTCACATTGTATTGTAGGAGATTATCGCAGCATTAATTAAAGTGATTTACCTCAGACAGCTTAAAATTTTAAACAGGCAGTATCCTGATCTTATCACAAGGATTTAGCTACCTGTCCAGCCTGGGTCCAGCCCTGCTCCCAGGGCCGCTCCAGCAGCCATTCCCTTAAGCTGGAAAACTACCAAAAAAAGCCACACTGAGTGGCCCTGGGAGCGAGAACGGACCCGGGATGGACCTAGGCAGTGATTTCAGCAGCAAAATCCTTGTGATAAGATCAGGATGCTGCAAATTTTAATTTTTAAGCTGGCTCAGGTAAGCTGCTTTAATTAGTGCAGCGATAATCTCCATAGAATACCAAAAACAATAATCTCCCAACTACTGCCAAAAATGCAGTAAAATATAACAGCCTGAGGGTTGAATCACCTCAGGCTGTTATACGCCAGCTGCGCCCTTTTCTGGAATTAGGGGATCTTGAGACCGTT